ATTTTATGCTTTAATACCTACACAAAGCTCACTTTCTATTGAAAACCCTAGCAAGTCCGGATACATCCTCAAAAATGAAAAGTCTTTCAGTAGGATGTAGTGTGAACAACACACCTTGACTTGCCAAATGATGGAGAATTTATATTGAATCAATTATCATTTGAAGTTGTGTGGCATCATCATCAAAATCTTTACCCCCTGGCAAAGTGTTTAACTGGCAGATGCGCCAGCGAGGCGAACTATATAATTAGTGGACATATAGTAAGAAGCGATGTGCAGAAGCCGACAAAGCATGCGATATGGTGTGACTAGGACGGTGAAAAACTGGCAATTATGAACAAGTTGGTATAGCCGACAGATTATAGACTTTAGGTGTAACCCAACAAAGGGAGAGCAGCAGAAAATGGCATTATACTAATTTAATTTTAAACGAACTCAACTGCTGCATATAATTTATATAATTGCATAGGCTCCAGGCAAGACTATTGATGATGTTATCATACTATATACGACTCTTATCAACAATTTCCGTTGGCAGCTGCATTCCGCTCTGAACTGGACTTGGCTCGACTCCACTTCCTTTCACTCCACGCGTTTCGCCTTGGCTTGTTCAGTTAATTATAATGTATTGCTTAATGGCCACACTTTGTGCCTACAGACACATTTCCGTCCGCCTGATTATTGGCCATGTATCTAGATGCAGGGGCGGCAGGCAGCCGGGGCAGGGGCGTAACCAAATCAAGCAACAACAAGGCCAGGCCAACAAACTATCGACTGATAAAACAATTTACTCTCCTCCATCTGTTTCGTGTGCTCAACCAAATTATGGTTACAAAATTTTATGAAGCCATTTATTTCACTCACAGATCGCAACACTCGCTGCTCCTCGTCCACATTATACTTAAAGCGATCGCTTTTAATCAGTGGGCAGCTCCGCTCCCTGTACTTGTTTTCAATTTGAGTCCAGCAAGGGGAACGTGTTGCAGTCAGGCGACTTGATCATTCAAAGAAAATTACCAAATTATACAAATTAGCTGTAGCTTAAAAAAGGAAGACATTTAAATGAGTGCCTCCTGCAGCAGAAGGGTGCACGGACTCTGCCCATATACGATATTGAACTAGACAAGTCAAGGAGGTTTTCATTTAATATGCGGCAAGCAAATAACAAACAAATGGCATACTCCATAACATTTACATTTTACAACTCCTTCAATGGCCGGCCACATAAGAATAGCTGCATATAACATATGTATCATATTGTCAGTTGTCTGACGGAGACGGAGAAGACGGCTGCATAAGCGCACAATTATGCGCATAAACGTTCCAAACTACTCGTACGCTCCATCATTAAGTCTAACAGACAATTTGTCAAAAGGAAAACAAGAAAAGTAACACGAAAATTTGCATAAAAAATAACAAACAACTAACATTAGACAACACACACACACACACACAAATTTGCATGTCTGACCGACTAAGTTGGCCAACAGCAACAAGTTAGCTACCAATAACAATTTTCTACGAACGTCTAAAGATTGGCGCTGGTTATGCAGGTAACACAGAAGCACAGGCCCAACTGCAATTACCAAAAGCGAGCCACAGAGATATCAGAGGAGATCGGCCAAGCGGCAACTGCCAACTACCAACTGCCAACAGCCAACTGCCAACTACCAACAGCTAAGAGCCAAGAGCCAAGAGCCAACAACCAAGCGGCAAATGCTGTTGCAAGCAACATGTGCGTTTGTGTCTGCAACGATTAAGTAAAAACAATTTACACGCCTGCCTGCCAGCCAGCCAGCCAGGAGGACAGACAGCCAACGAAGACGTGAATGTGGACGGGACGTGGACAAGATCCAGTGTCCGTCCCGGTCGTGGCCCGGTCTCTGGCCACAGACGTGTGGCGTTAATATGCGTCGCTCTGGCTTAGCTCGTTGCCAGCTCCGGCTTCATGTTAGTGCTTCCTTTTGGCATCGCCAACATGTCAATTATATCGTATCAAATTAATAATTGTACGCGCCGCGCACATGAGCGCAAAAAAAATACAACAACAACAAAATAAAATAAAATAATATATATACCTATCCATGTATAGTATATACACATATATGTACAGACGTGTGCTTAAAAAATGCTATAATAAAATGATGCACGTCTTCGCCCCATTTGCCAATAAAGTTGCTTTTAGGAGCTGCCAGTTGTTGCCACTAATCGTGGCAGACAGGCATGAACTGGCCCCATACACAATACACGTATCTATGTGTGTGTGTGTGTGCGAGTGTGTGTGTGTTGTGTGTGTTTCGACTTTTCCAGTAGCCTGTCAATTTGGTGTTGTAAGTGAGGCTTAAGAGAAATGTTTGAGTTTCGATTTCAAAATCTACTCTACAAGATTCCCAGCAGACACTTTTGAAAGTCAAATAACGAAAGATACTAGTCAATGTTGTTAGTTCTCAATTTAGCCATAATCTCGGCTTAATTTAGCCATAACGGTCCGTACTAAGCTGAAACCTTGCCTCCAGCTTATTGGAGACCTCAAATGAATAAAACAATATTTTCTATTAAGCTTTTGTTTTAAATTTTCGTTGAAAGTAAACTTTTTTCGGCTTTGCATAATTGGCGAGTATTGCCCGGCCTTGCTCGTGAAAAGTTTTGCGCTAATCATTTTAGATATTACATTTCCACGACCGTGCAAAATTGAAATCCACCCGAACCATCTTGATCTCAGCTTCCATTAAAAGATATGTTTAAAGTGCATCGAATAAGGAAGCAAATCTTTTGTTGTGAGAATATTGAAGCGGAAAAATAAACTTTGGTTTAATAAACCTCTGACCCGCACTTTCTATCCAATAGCATTGAACTTTGCAAAAAACGTATCAAATAAATTTATATAATTACCAAAAAATTAGCAGACTTTCCGCCAAATTTGCACAGTTGCGGGGGAAATTTCCATAATCGCTAAAAAAAAACCTATTCATTACATTCTTGAGTAGGGTTTTGAAAAATCTCTTCCACAGAGGAAGCTTGGATTCTGCGAAAATTGTGAAAGACGTCTCAAAGGATTTTTTGCATATATCTTTGGAAATGAATTTGTACACGAAACGTAACCCAACTTTGACACCCATTTCCACCAAGGAGGAGTGCGTTTTTCGAAAAGTGTGAAACACCCCACAAATGAATTTCAACATAAAATGAATTTGAGGCCAATCGGATGGTAAACAAAAAAGGTGCATTCAAACGTTTTTTTCGTTTCCATTTTGCCACACTTGCGGATGGAATTTTCCGAAGCCCCGTCTTAACAGTGAAAATTTCAGCTTCCTAGCTTTACGGTTAGGGCTGTGCGTTGATCACCAATCAGTCAGTCAGTCAGTAAGTCAGTGAGTCAGTCGGGACAAACAGTTTTATATATATAGATAATTGACAATTGCTGCCGAGTTTAAACGGCCGACTTCTTGCTCGTTTGTACGGCGCTTGGAACTCTAAGCCATAGAGGCCAATGAAGGTACTTTTCAATTCCATAATTATATGGCTAAGTTGCTTTGAAGTTCTGAATACTAGCTTTTACCATCGTATTCCTGCACCTTAAGTCGTATCTTAGTGCTTACTTTCGACCCAAAAGAAGTTGCAGTAAAATGTTGGGCTGTGGATTGGTCACCAATCTGACAGTCAGAAAAAACTCCCCTATATAAATAAATATGCTCGAATAGGGTATTATGGGTTGTTACAAAAATGTGTACTAATATTTCACGTATCTGCACATGTCACAAAATCAGAATATGTTATCCTTGTTATCCGAATGCTTTATCCAATAAGAATCAAGATGACAATAAAAATCTGGCACCAAGCTTGACATAATTATAAATGAATTATCATTTTCATATAGAGTATGAAAATACTCATACTCATACAAAAACAACAGTAAAAAACGTTTCTATAATCTAAAAACAGTTGTTTTTATCGATAAATAGTGCCCAATCCGAATCAAAGTATTTAAATTAAAAACCCATAAAGATTAAGTGCAGACGAACACAGGGTATCTGTCAGTCGGCTGCTTTTCTGTTGCAAGCCAACAAAATCAACTTCTGTATCAAAAGCTTGCAAATTAATCAACAATTTTAGTGGTTTTATTGAAATGTACCAAAAACACGACAACAACACAAACTGGTTTCAACGTTGTTGTTGTTGCTGTTGTTGTTGTTGTTGCGTTGGCGTCATTTGGTTGTCTGTGCAAAAGCTAAAACGGTAATTATCTTTTGACAGCACTTTGCTTGAATTTGGTAATGACATCCAGCCACAGATCGAAGGCGATGGAAACGGCGACAAAAGCGGCGCTTTAGCCGAGCTGACAGCTGAGGTTAAAACGTGGCCGATTAAAATGACAGCCAGCTGGTAAATAACTGTACGGGCGGGACTTGGCCAAATGACACAAACGTGCTTTTCGAGGAAGACATAATGTATAAAATATAGTATAAATGCAAAGCCTTTAATCGGGGTTCCATATGTCGCAAATGCGACTCTTCGTGTTTGGATCATTATATCATATTACAGACAAAAAAGAATCCTTTGGGTTTAAGTATTTCCTATTAGCAGTAACTGAAGTTCTATTGGAATTCATTCGTAGACTTTGCCAACACTTAAAACTTTAAGAAATGGCCGCTTCATTCGCATTGTGTGAGATATTAGACACAACTTTCTTTTGTAATTAATGCGTATAGTTAAGATTGGTTGTTCATTTTCCTAATGGTTGTTGCTTTTCCTTAAAACTAGTTTTCGCCCACGAAATCTGCACACTTTTGCTATTGACCACGATATCATCTGAAATGGTGAAAATAAAAAACATGTTAACTTTTTATTGTGCAAGCCCGAAGAGACACTTGCACCTTATCCTTTATGAACAAGAACTTACTCCATTCACTATCTTAATGCCCCGTTTGTACTGGGTCTAGACAAGTGATTGCTTGAATTCCTATCAAATAATAACAGCAAAAAGATTTACTTCAAATTTGATGTTTATATTTCTCACAAAGCACAAATCAATTCAATGTGGTGAATTTGAAAACCAGCTGACACTAAAACAATGAAAGTTCAAGATCAAACTATCGCCCACCTCTAACGCGCTCTGTTTACCATTCGGCAAGTGCGCGCGTGTGCGTGTGCGTGCGCGCGTGTATGCCTGTGTATGTGTGGGGAGAAAGATGAAAACGGCGCCAACGATAAGTGACATTCGGGCAAAGAGAGCGCGAAAATCAGAGAGAAGCAGCATACGAAAGAAACGCCGCCAATCGAGAGGCCATTAAAAATTGTGCACACATTCAATATAGAATATCCAATTGCCAAAGGATCATAAAAAAAAAGTTAAGATCGCAATCGGGATCGTTGCAGGAAACATTTAAGCAAAATCGATATCCGAAACTGAAGCTGAATCTGAATCTGAATCTGAAGCGGCATGGCGGGGAAGCGGCTTAGCCTGATGCTGGAGGAAAGCGGGCACGAGCACGAACAGCTGCTGGCGACAGATCGCGACAATCTGGAGAACACCAAGCCGAGCTCGGCGAAGCGCTACAAGGCGAATGGCAAACTAAGCACCGAGTCGCCATTGCAGCGCATGCTGCAGCGCCAGACTTCCGGCAACTCGAGCATCCTTTCGCCGATCACCGAGCTGTCGCAGAACATGCGTGACACGCTGCTCGATGGCGGCGGCACGCCAAAGTCCAGCACGCTGCGCAGCTTCAATAGCGTCTCGTCCAGCTATGACTCCAGCAACTCGCTGGATGACGAATACATGGCCATGTTTGAGCTGGAAACGTTGGAGCAGCTGCCGCTGGCCAAGCTGCCTGGCGATTTGGATGCACTGATCAGCGGCCAGCTGAAGACTAGCGAGCACGAGGCAACGCCTAAGAATCGTTCCGTACGTCGCTGCCTGAGCATGTCTCAGCAGGATTCGCTGGATGCCACGCCCCCAGAGCAGAGCAAAAGCCCGAATGATGCACAACTGCCGCACCCGCCCGCTACGAACCAGATGCGCAAAGTCGTGTCCATGAATGATGCGGACATACTGAATGCCCTGGCCGAGGAGCCGGCACTGATCGGCGATCTGAGCAAGCCGTGCGCCCTGCCCGTGCTGCTCTCCGGCGTGCGGCACCGGGACCTCAAGACAATATCATGCGAAACCCTGGCCCGTCTGATGCGCGGCGAATTCGCCGATCTGCTGGGCCATTACCAGATTATCGATTGTCGCTATCCGTACGAGTTCAATGGCGGTCACATACGTGGCGCACTGAATCTTTACACACGCGCCCAAATCAAGGATGCCTTTCCAACGGAGGCAGCTGACCAGTCCGCCGACCAGTCCGCCGGACAGCGCCGCATTTACGTGTTCCACTGCGAGTTCTCCTCGGAGCGCGGCCCAAAGCTGCTGCGCTATCTGCGCAACAATGATCGCCATGTGCACACCCACAACTATCCCTCGCTGGACTATCCGGAGCTCTACCTGCTGCACAATGGCTACAAGGAGTTCTTCGCCAGCTACATGGAGCTGTGCGAGCCCTGCAACTATGTGCCCATGCTGGCGCCGGCCCACAACGAGGAATATCGTCTGTTTCGCGCCAAGACCAAGTCCTGGCAGTGCGGCGATAGCGACGGTGGCGACAGCGGCATTGGCGGAGCAGAAGCCGGCGGCGGCAGCGGCAGCAGCTCATCGAAACGTTCACGCACCTTGCGTAAGTCGCGCTCCCGGCTGCTCTACGCCGAGTGATCCAAAATTGATATCAATACCCCGCCCCCTCTCCCCCAAAAAATATATAGGTATAAGTGGATAGGTGAAAAAATTTAACCAAAGGACGCAAATTTTAAGTTCCGTTTAGTTGCGTTGTCCAAGTTGTGTTTAAGTGGAATTCTTGTATTTGTTAAACTTGATTTTCGATTTCTGGTTTTATTGTTGACGGTTCCAAAATGTTTTCAAAATGTCCTCTAGTCAGTGCAACAAAATTCCTATTTAATTAACTTTTTTTTTTCTTTTGTGTTTTTGGCGTTTTACTTAGTTTAGTTCTCAAATTTTCCCTATATTTAATTATATTAATATAATAATAAAATTATGCGATTCAAGACTGTAAACGAAACAAACAGTTCCTAAGTCTCGACAAATTCGCTTAAGGTATAAATATATCTAAAATTAAGTAATCGTTAAGCAAACTTATTTGTGTAAAAAAAAAAAAAGGAAAAATTGCAGCAAAACTATTTTCGGAATTATATAGAGCTTATTTCAAACATAATTTCAAATCGAAAATATATTTAGCATAAATTATACATTTATCTAGCTTTATAATCTGTACAGAAGAATTTATGTCTCCAACTATGCGATCTTTTCGATCCTTAAAGCTATCCCAACGAAACTTGGGCACGTTTTTCTCGGAGCACTGTCAGATTAAGGATTGTTCGAAAATTAGAATACTTTTGTCTTTTTATGTTTTTGACTGCACTTAAGAGTTTTTTAGACGGGAACCAAGTCTTGTCACGCTCGAACTTCAATGTCATATAGCTCCATTTTGAATTCTGCAAATTGACATACCTCATGATATTGCTGCCATAGGAACAATCGGTCGAAGATAATGATTTTCTATAACTTTACTTCCACATCTATGCCCTACGTCTATATGGCTGCCTAGTCTTCGAGCATCCGATATAGAATAGAGCAGAATTTGAAATAAATGGATGGTTTCGGAAATATGACTGCAAGGGCAATTCATCTTCAAGATATCGCACATAAATGGGCTTTGTTTTAGCTTTTAAATAGTCTAAACGCATTTGAAGGTAAATATGTGTTCATTTGAACACCTTGGCTTGCAATACTTTCGCTTGCCACGCCTTTGGCTGCGACTGCGGCTGCTGCAGAGGCCTCTGCGGAGTGAGAGAGAGTGAGATAATAAAAATGAAATATTGCCCGAGTGTGTGCGGTGCAACAGCTCTCCGGAGCGCTACATGAAAATCGGATAGCAGACATATTTTATGTTGGGCGACTCGGAAAAAATACATGTTATTTATTGCCAACTGAGGAATATTACGTATATTACACACAAGAGAGCGGCAACAACAGCAGAAAGTGCCAACTTTCACCCGACAGCGAGGCGAATGGGACATATCGAATATATTTATGGGTGGGCGGCATTCAAATGAATATTGTTTAAATCTGTTGAGCGACAACAAGCTGCCTATAAATCCTGTATGGCTTTATCTATGACAATTCATTAGCCGGGACGAGCTACAGTCAAGCAAACGAGATGATCTGTTTAACAATAATATTTGAATTGCCGGTTTATTCAAAAGAACAGCTTAACAATTTATAAAATGCAATTGCTGCATAAGCTACACTCATGAGAATTGGCATCAGCCTAATAGTTATTACAATTTGGAAATGTTTTCTAAAATGAAAAGTTACCAATAGAGATTGCATTCGCATTACTTGCGCGGCATGTTGAAGGGCGCCTTGAAACCCGCCTTGTTGTAGAACTCCACGGGCACGGAATCATCGCCATCAAAGAAATCTGAATCTCGGGAGCAGCACGGACCAAGCTCCCTTTTGACAATCATATCACCCCAGAAGGTAAGCATGTTGCGCTGCAGCAGCTCATCGCGCAGCTTGACAATCCAATCGTTGTATTCCCATGGACCATAGAAGCCAGCATCGCTTTTGTACTCCTGCAGCAGCTCGGCGGCCTTCTGGTACTCAACATCCGTGGGCGTGCCCTCGAAGAGCAGCTGCCAAACGACATTGCGCGCTGCCTGGCCAATCTTTTCGACATTCTTCTTGTGTATCTCATCCGGCACAATGACAGTGGTCAGCACATAGCGTTTCATCAGGTCGCGATAGTCGATGAGCGGCTCCGTCTTACTTATGTGCGCCTCAAAGTCGCCCGTCAAGGCTGTCGCATTATTTGAGTTACGCTCGATCTGATTGCTGGCCTCCTCGTCGCCGCTTGTTGCCGCCTTCTCTGCAGCTCGCACCTTCAGGCTGGCTGCAAAGGGCGCCACGCAACCGGCATGCGCATAGAACTCCAGCGGTGGCTCATCGTCGCAGTCAAACAGATCCGAGTCGCGGGACCAGCAGGGACCCAACTGCTTGCGCACAATAGTGTCGCGCCAGAAGTCGAGGAGTTGTCTTTTCAGCAGCTCGTCGCGCACCTTGACTATCCACTCGTTGTAGGTCCAGGGCCCATAGAAGCTTACGTCACTTTTCAGTTCTTCGAGCAACTCGCCAGCTTTTTTCTGTGACTCAGCGTCGGGCGTCTCGTCGCTGAACAACAATTGCCAGATGACGTCACGTGCCGCACTTGCGATTCTATTGAAGTTATCTTTGGTGACCTCATCGTCGACTATTTGATCTATTGTTACGCGGGTCTCGATCAGCTTGATGTAGTCCTTGAGGGGTTCTTCCTTGCCAATGATAAAGTCCCCCTGTGACAATATAAAGTTATCTTTTAAAATCTCATATGTAGAAGCCGACTTATAACCTACCTGCACGGGAGTTGTGGCACTTGTTTTTGATGCTGTCGTCGCCATTTCGTTGTCTGCTTCTGAAATTTCAGCTTTGCGTTTAAACATTACAGATAATTCAAATTGTATATATTTATATTTTCAATTTTCTATCATTTTACGTGTATTTCACCACAAAACACGAAATAGCACTAAAAATAAACAAAAAAGCTAAGTCAATGAATACTCCTCCTTTTAACAGAAATGCTCCACAGTGACGCGAGTTCAGTACTTTTAGTATTTTTTGCCAGGCTGATATTTTTTGATCAGACACTTTTGGTAACACTGATTTCTGTTAACAAAAAATATTCGTGCTTAAGGGTTTTGCGGTTGTCCCCAATTATAATCAACTAATTCAATTTAAAATTAGTTGCGTAATAGTTAATTATACAGATATACACAACTACATTTAACAGTGAGTGCGTCTTAAACCAAGTGCTGCTCTCCGCCCGAGTTTCGTCTGTGTCCCATTGACATCTCGTGAAAAAATTTGAGGTTACAACATTTGACCACGGCAGCAATAAGCCAAACGTCGTGTTAATGCCTCCTGCAAGCTATAAATTGCCACTTATATTAAAAATAAAACATTTCTAATCAGTGTGCAGCAGCGAACCAAAACTGTAGTCAAACTAAAGACACAAAATCAATTGCGTTCGTCTCTGTGTGAAAGTGTTTGTGTGTGCGTGAAATTCCATTTATCGTACCCGAAAGCTAACGAAAAAGTCTTAAAGTTATACTCAAATGTGTATGGCAATTGTGGTAAGTACATAAACAAAAAGTCAATAGTCGAAAATAGTCCAAAGTCAAAGTATTTAGGCCGTAAGATAAACTAAAAACTGTACAGACAGGCATGGGAGTCTGAGAATTTTATTTATACGTATTTATATATACATTATAAATCGTATGTCAACGTCTGGATAATATACAGAATTATCTAAACTATTTACATAAATACATTTGTTTTGAATACTCTTTACCAATGCAATCGAACTTTACTCTCACTCGTTCTCGCTCTCTCTCTGACCAGCCTGGTAAGTGCAAGTGTGTTTGTGTGTGTGTATCATTTGTTCACATGCACTTTAGCCTGTGCCTGCCTATGCAATACAGGCATGGGAACGAGTCAAAAGACATTCGATTTTTTCTGAAATGACTCCTTTGTTTGATTAGTTGATATTTTAATGATACTTTGGGCACTTGGCCTGTGAATTATTGACATAATTGCCTGTAAACGTACGGACGTACGTATTTATGTACACAGTTGAAAGTATATGTCTGCACTGGATTGACCCGATTACAGTTATGGTGAAATGTAGTGCAACTGTAAAACTGGGACACGACTAGCAAAAGCAACAGACTGAAGAGATGCGAAGAGAGAACAGCATTAAGCCAGATATGCACATGCTCTATATGTATGTATGTATGTACGTCAGAACGTTCACTAATATCTAATCTGTTAAATGCTTAAACAAATTTATCGTATCAACGCCAACTGAAAAAAAAGAAGAACATTCACCAAACAAAATCGCGACGCAAAAAGATTCACTTAAATCTGAGTTGGGCCAAAGATAAAAAAATCGGAATCGAATCAGTTGAATTTTGTTCTGAACAATTAAGGACGCGTTACGCATTTTGTCCGCAAACACAATTGATTAACAGTTTTTATACTGCGAGCATTACTTGTTGGTATGTGCAATGCGCAAAATACTAAATTTAAAGTATTTTTTAGCCTATATTTGTGCAGAGAAACAGATATCATTTCCCGTTTGTTTTCATCTTGTCTCCATCATACATACAAACAACTCTTACATAAAAATTCTCTTTTCAATTGCGTCAATGCACAAACATTCATACAACTAGCACATTAACAGGTGCACGACAGTAAAGGCATAAACGTACATACATTTACATTGGCCCCTCTTCATCTTCCCATAGCCAGAGATAGAGAGAGAGAGAGAGGGTGAGCAACAGCTGATTGTAATTCAAATAACCGTTAACCCAAAAGAATAGCGTATACTGAATTAACTTTACTCGGTGCATGTTTGATTTCAGTTTCCGTTCTGTATATTTTCTGCATCTGTTTTCTCCTTGAGCAAGTTCAATGATATGGATGTTGATTTGTTGTATTATTTATTCTTGAATTAAAGGGGGATGTGATCGGACAGACCCAATCAAACACTTTTATTTTGTTGCCTTTGTCTTTCTTTCTTTCATTCTTTGCGCGCTTTCTGCCAGTTTTGTTCAACATACATATAACAAATAAATGAAATAATCCTTAATTAAATGTTTCAATTTTGTAAAATATTTATTTACCAATTATGGTTCTGACAATTGCAAGAAATACTCAATATGTATATATTTTTATTGTAATTATTGTCACGTTTACGGAAGGCGTGCGAATTTCGCCAGTGTGTACATGTCATATCTAAAAATAAAAAAAGGAAGAAGAGAAAGGCGACTAAAACATGCAATACTTACAACGTCAGTCGCCGTTATTTGCTTGCCAAATGGTGAGAGGCGGTTTGGGGTGGGGGGCTGAGACAGAGCTAGAATAATATGACACTGAAACCACCAGCCAAGTCTAAATATAGTTGGGGCAAATGTTGTGGCTGGCTCCCAGCTAAGGCGAACTGCAAGAACCGACGACAAATTTCGACTGGATAACCTTGCAAAGGGTTCGAGCATGTGCATGCCACGTAGATATATTAACAGAGCTCTTGAACCGCAACTTGTTCGTTGAGTATTTTCTTCGAAACAAACAAATCATAATAAATGTACACACACACACACACGCACGCACACACAAACGTCTCTGCTCAAGCATTGAGGCGAATGCGATAAAAGCTGACGCATTTGTCGACTCAAGACGTCACCAAAATAATTGCTTTGTTCGTGAGCTACAACAGCAAAAAAACAAAAGATTAGCCGATAGCCAGTCCAACTGTATAATAGGCTGAAGGGTACAAGGTTAGTTAATATAAAATAGTTAAAATTTAAAATTAAAGTTAATACCTAATGTATATTAAATAGTATTGGCACTAACTGTGCTTGAAAGCGATTCAAATAAATGATTTCATTTTAGAATTGAGGGTTTAGTTCAGTTTAAAATAAAACCATATTTGATTATATTTACTCTGATGATAAATGAGTAAGAACTTTGTAGTTTTTATACCCTGAACCCATTAAAAATGGGTATAAGGGTATATTCTATTTGTGCAAAATCCAAATTTATGTAACAGGCAGAAGGAAGCATCTCCGACCCCATAAAGTATATATATTCTTGATCAGCATCAATAGCCGAGTCGATCTAGCCATGTCCGTCTGTCTGTCTGTCCGTCCGTCCGTCCGTATGTATGAACGCAAGGATCTCAGAACCTATAAGAGCTAGAGACTTGAAATTTTAGATGTAGATGCTCCTAGTTCCCGCGCAGATCGAGTTTGTTTTCGATAATCGATAGCTTACTCCGTTTCCAAGCAATCGATAAAATATCGATATCCTGTTTTTTGGGCAATTTTAGTAAATAATAAGAGCTAGATTCACCGAACTTGACATATAGCTTCTAGAATAGAATATATATGCATTTGATGCATATATATATTCCCCTAGTCGGGAGCTTCCGACTAGAACCTCTTACTTGTTTCACAGTGTAATAACTGTCTCAAGTTATAGTCTTATTCCACTGTTCACATTTCTTACACATTCTTGAAAATGTCACATTTTCCTGTACGTTTTTCCATAAGCAAACACATTTTACACATTTTTCAGAAATGTGTAATATCGGCCCGTACAGTTCGTGTTTTTGCGATGATTTATCGAATTTTGTATTGATGTGATCAAAGCAATTCGATCAGCTGTTTATTTAAAGAACTGGTTCTTTCGCCAATGGAACACCAATATGTGAAACTTGGAAATGTGTCATTTCATCAGCACTGTGGACAAAGGCTATTAGACTTTATGCAAATCGTTATCAGCAGTTCCTGCCGAATATGCAATCTTAATAGAAGCAAGACTGCGCTAGGATATACTCTGATCACAGCTTCGAGCAGTCTCTGCTTCTTCACTGTGAAAAATGTGCTCTTAAGAAGGATCGGAATAGTATACATAAAGCGAAATGCCTCTAGGTAAACTTCACAAAAGTTGGTTTCTCTAGCGAGATATGCTTGAAAAAAGCATGAACTTGAAAATGGGGCAAGCTATAGATGATCTTTAAATAAGTGGTTCTGCGTCTAAACCAGCAAGTCTGCACCTCTTGATGAGTTAGTGGAGTTTGACAAGGTTCAATCGAAGATTTTTAGAGAAGAACATTAGACACGTTTTACCCATTCTCATTGGATTTAAGCGATTTGTAGCTAAAGCTGTGGCAGAGCTAGATGCCCTGGTGGAAGTGTCCAACAAGTAAGATCTAAACTGGTAGTCGCTCAAAGAAATGTAAATCATATATCGTTTTCTCAATGTAAGCAGGTTATAAAAATGTTACAAAATGCGACAAAGAGCGTTAGGGAAACATTTCAGTTTGGTATAGTTCTTATTTAGTTGTACTTGAATTAGCTACCAGTTGGGATGATGTATGTTATGTCTCAAAAGCTTGTTATAATATATATATACATAATATAATCGATTTTAAAAAGTAAATATATATCAACATATATGTTGTATGGAATGATATTATATTAAAACAACGCAAACGAAAATGTAGCTCTTTAATATATACACAAACTAGCAAAAAAAAGATATTTATTACAGTTTGATAACTAAAAATCAAGCATTAAATGTTAAATTTAGACAAAGAAAAATAGTTTAACAAAAAAAAAAATGAACTACTTACATTTTGCATTTAAATTTTCTGCAATGCTCCAAAAATAACAAAGAAGTTTTTCTGTTCTTAACTATTGTTGGCCTTTTTCCTTTATCCTTTTTATGTAGTGCAGTGTAATATTATTCAAAGGGCGGGAGAAAGGCTGCGGTATATGCGAAAATGTTTCATTTTCGTTTATAACCAGCTGGTTTTTGTTGAATGATGTTTTTGGCATTAAAATCGATAAGCGCCAAAGTATTGTGTTTTTCGCTAAAATAGGATCAATTGACGTCATGGAAGATGTTTTTCTTAGATTTTGGTCATGGTGGATATTTTCGCGAAGCT